GGTGCTCAGCACGCAGTGCACGGCCGGTCTTGATCGTGTTGAGCTTGTTGAGCTCGCAGTGCGCAGACGGTTCAGGCTATTGTTTCCTATCTTGACCCCAATATTCGCCAGAGCTACAGCCTCCTGTATCCTTTCTGGAAGTTACAAGCATGCTATTTATTATTTTTACAATTGTTGTTTTCCATATCCTCCAAAGCTCACAACACCACAGACCAAAGGTTCTCAGCTTGTGGGTCACAACCCCAAAGGGTTGGGGTTTCTGTTGCTGCAACCAAACATCATGACCAAAGAGGAGTTTGGGAGGAAAGGGTTAATTTGGCTTACGCTTCAGCATTGCTGTTTATCACTGAAGGAAGTCAGGACAGGAACTCAAACAGGGCAGGATCCCAGAAGCAGGAGCTGATGCAGAGGCCATGGAGGGTGCTGCTTACTGACTTGTTTCCCCTGGCTTACTCAGCCCACTTTCTTCTAGAACCCAGGACCAGCAGCCCAGGGATGGCACCATGCACTATGGGTCCTCCCCCATTGGTCACTAGTTAAGAAAATGCCTTATAGCTGGGTCTCACTGAGACATGTCCTCAAATGAGACTCCTTTCTCAGTAGCAAAAATACAATTATGAAGTAGCAGCGAGAAAACTTTGTGGTCGGGGGTCACCCCAATACGAGGAATTGTATTTGTGGGTCTCAGCATCGGGAAGGTTGAGAACCACGGCCATAGACTGACCTTGCTGGTCCTGTCAGTGTCTGTCGTGTATTCCGCGCTCGTCCACAGTCCACAAACCACAGTTCGTCTAACCAGTTCTTTATTATTGGATGCTTGAGCAGTTTTGTTGTTGTTGTTTTATTGTTTTTTTTTCTTTTCAAAACAGGGTTTTGCTGTAGCTTTTAGACCAGGCTGGCCTTGAATTCACAGAGGTCCATCTGCCTCTCCCAAGTGCTGGGGTTAAAGGTGTGTGCCACCACCACCCGGCATACTTGAACAGTTTTAAAATTTTGCTATTTTATAAAAAAGCGAAAGCCCCTTTTTGATGGGCACATTTGGTATCTATGCCTTGGGCTGTGTATAAGGATAGCTTTTGGATAATTTTTCAGCACCTCGTAGCCTGAGGCATTGATCGTAACTTTTCTGTCTGATGATGGCCATAACTCCATCAGGGATTTTCAGGCAGATTAGAATCATCATCACAAACTGTGGAGACAGAGAAAACGAAATGGAATGGTGACTCTGAAATCAGATGTCCCCAGTCCTAAAGCCGGCATTGCCAGACTGCCCTCTGTACAACATGCTTATAGCACTGACCCACCAAAGTGGGTCAGTAGCTGTGCCTGCTTCTGAGGAAGCAGGAAGAGACACTGAACAGCAGGCACCAGGTACGTACGGCTGAGAGCTACATGCGTTCAAGTCTCTTCTCAGACCCATGAAACCTGAGGTAGATGTTTGAATGTAAGAACATTCCAGATACTTTCAACTAAAGCCCACAGCGTTTTATTCTGGAATCCTGTTGCCGGAGCATTTGCAAAGCAGATAGCCTGTTGCTGCGTGGAACCGCCCTGTAAAGAGCAATGCACGTGACCACTGGGCTCTTGTCCTCGACACTTCTCCGGGAAACCTTGGGCTTCCCTTCCCGTCTCTTTATACACGATATGGGAGCTCCCCTAATTTTTCTGACTTCCTCTGGGACAAAGGAAGCCAGAGCCTAGGATGAGTTTCTAACTCTTCTTTACTATAAATACCCTAAATTTTTGAAAATCTCTCTTGTACTTTACCCAACAATCTTGACTTTGCTTTATTGGGTCATCTGACACTTTTCTTTTTTAAATAAATGAGAATATAGTCAAAAGGTCACCGAAGGGGAGCATGTAGTTTTGTGAACAACTCCTCTCCCTGGTGAATCATCTTCTGTGCTCTCGGGACCTTAGTTTGTACTGAGGAACACAAACCAACCCTTCCTGTCCCAGACTGGTTTGTGGTTAGTTTTTTTGTTTTGTTTTGTTTTGGTTTTTTTTTGACTTACAGAGGCCCCTTCCCCCCATTATGTCTTCATTGCTCTGATCATCAATCTTTTTAAAGTGACAAAAGATGGCTTCGATGAAGCCACAGGGGCTGGACAGGGAGACATTGTTGGCAGGAGAGAGGCCGGGTGTTGTACAGCTTTGAACAGGGCGAAGCTACACAGCGCCCTAGATGTAGTAAGTCTAGATGTGTCTTCAACCTGGAGCTCAGCAGCTGCTCAAAAAGCCCCTCAGTGCCTGCTGTAGCCCTGTGACCACGAGGGGGTGCAGTCACCAAGGTTGGAGGGACAGGAAGGGGTCTTGCAGGTTCCCTTAGAGCCCGAGCCGCAGCTTGAGTTGCTGTGGAACGTTACAAATCATCAGCAAATCTGAGAGCAAAGACTGGGAAGCGTGTGGACAGAAGGAGCCGTATTCGCCGTTGGTGGGGGTGCAAATTAATACAGCCGTTGTGGAAACCAGCTTGGAGAGTTCTCCAAAATCTAAAAATAGAACTGCCATGTGTCCCAGCTATTTTATTCCTCGGCAGATACCCAAAGAAACCTGTACTGCACCACAGGGATATTTACAACTTCATGTTTATCTCTGCTTCGTTAGCTATAGCTGTCTGTCAGATGAATGGATAACAAAATTTGGTCACTTAGGAATACTATCATGTCATCAGCTAATAGGAGAGTTTGACTTCTTTTCTAATTTGTATCTCCTTGATCTCCTTTTGTTGTCTTATTGCTCTAGCTAGGACCTACCATTTGAGTACTGTGTTGAATAGATATGGAGAGAGTGGACAGCCTTGTCTTGTTCCTAATTTCAGTGGAATCACTGTGGTGGGTATTGCAGTGCAGGTGTGTGAGTTCGCGCAGTCCATGAAACAAAGACTCAGAGACGTTTGACAAGGAACTTAGCCTGTTCGCGGCAGCAGGGGTCCCCAGCCTTGGTGGACTGAAGCACTTTCCCTTCGCCCATAGCATTTTTATTTTTCCCATATTTACACTTCTGTCAGTTGATTTTCATATGCTCAAAACAACCCGAATGAAGCTTCCAGAAACAGTGTCCAGTGCAAATACCCGATTCAGAAGGTACTACGGTTTTCTGGGCTACTCCTAACCAAGTTTTGCATAGACTTTGTATCCATAGGAAACTCTCAGAGATGTTTAGGGTGACAAAAGGTATCTGTAACACAAAGGATGGGTTAGGATTGGGTGCTAATCCCAGCCTGGCCAGGTGTGGCAGCCCTAAATTCCTGGCAGCAAGAATCACTCCCCTAGCCAAGCAGTGGTGGTACATGCCTTTAAACCCAGCACTTATGAGGCAGAGGCAGGAAGATCTCTGAATATGAGGCTAGCTTGGTCTACAGAGAGAGTTCCAGGAAAATCAGGACTAAACAGAGAAACCCTGTCTTTAGAAACAAAACAAAACAAAACAAAACAAAACAAACAAACAAACAAAAAACTTACTCCCCTAAACAAGTCAAATTTTCTCATAGTTTTCCAAGTACAGTGTATACTGCACATCACTTTTTGGATAAGGATATCTGGAAATTGGCCATCCCTGTCAGTGGTGATTTTTCTTGTTATTATTGACATCCTTTAGGGTGAGGTGGCTGATATTATGTATTTGTACGTTCCCATCACAATGGTATCACGTAATAGCTAAGCAGCCATTCCATAGTGTCTAGGAGTCAGTGTGGTTGGACTCAAGCCTCTTGAAGTTAATGGAGACAACTATCAAATGGTAATAAATTGAGCTGGACCTTCTCCCATGGTTCTCCCCATAAATGGAGGCAAAAACGTGAAATCTTCATTCAGCTGGGAAAGGGTTTGGCAACTGTTTGGAGAGCTGAGCCTTGGCTGAGCTCCGTAGTGATGTTCTCTGTTTGTTCTGTTTGTTCGTTCTCTCCTTATCCTGCCTACTCAACTGATTTCTTGCTGGCCGGAAACTGTTCTGTGGGATCTAGACATGAAATGAAGGGAGGATGATGAAGACCATGCTCTGCTTTCAGCACTCAGCCAGCAAATCCATCCTTTCTCCCAGCCCTCAGCTAGCAAATCTGTTTTCCCATTATGTCTTGATTAATAGAACACTTAGAGGGCATCTATAAAAAGGCTGGTATTAGCAGGATGCTCGCCCTGTTGGGCTCGGTTTGGCTCCTGGAAATGGTACGAGCTCCTTACTCAGTTCTGTTTCTTCAGAACTCAGTTCTGTTTCGCAGTACTTTGGATGACGGAAATAATATAATATGTGCAGCTAATATTTTTGAAAATCTATATGTCAAAGCCACTTAGTCCCTCAGTTCCTAATGGATCGGTGATTACTGGAGTTGATTGACCCAGGAGGCCATGCTGGTTGACCCCGAGAGTGTCCCAAGGCCCAGAAGAGAGCTGTAGGTTTCCCTCCTCATCCCTGTAACATGTTTTGAGCTGTGTGTAGCTCCTGACCTCGGACTTCAGCTCCACTCACAGTACAGGTTTCCTGTGGTCTGAAGTCTTAGAAGCTAGCACAGTGGTTCCCTGCGCAGGAAACTAGGGGTCACAAGGACGAGCACTTGCTCCAAGTCCCTCAGACAGCCACTAAGGCTCACCAGCCACGCTGGTTTCAGCTGCTGCTTCTCACTTTGCTTTTTGGCTGGGGTTGGGGTGGGGTGCAAAGCTTTGGCAGGGAGGCTGTGGGGGAAGACTGGCTGCCCCTCCTCACAGCCTTCCTCTTGCCCAACTTTCCACCAGCTGCAGAGCGTCTGGCTTCTCCACATGTATCCTCCCTTCCATGAGGTCTTTGGTAAAAGTTAACTTCTACTGCTGAGATAAAACTGGTGAGGCATAGTGTGCCCCAGGTCCAAACCTAGCGATTATTCATGCTCCCCGGTCGTTGCCTGGCTCCTTCTGCCCACCAAGAGATGAGCTCACATCTTGTGCCCTACCCCAACCCTGTCAAGATCTGATTCATGCCGTAAATATTTTTTGTTGTTGTTCGTTTTCTGTTTGATACTGTGATAGGAATAGCTGGGACCATTGGAGCTTCTTCAGCATGGAACTATCCGCATCGGGAATCAAGAGCAGTGTCCCAGGCTGGTGACACTCGCTTGTGATCCTAGCACTCTGCCTACCAGCAGAAGAACCAGGAGTTCAAGGTCACCCTCAGCTGTGAGTTTGATGCTAGGGACCCTTTCTCAAATGAACCAAAGCAAAAATGTGTTCCTCTGTGATGGTCAGCTTCATGTGTCACTGTGAGTAAGGAAACAACATCACATGACTCAACAGCTCGCCCCGGTGTAGCAGAGATGTGTTCTGTAGGTGCAGCTTAAGTCCCTTGTCAGTAAGAATTCCCTAGGATTCTGGAGAACCCTGATCCAATCAATCCGAAGCCTCAGAGGCAGCGCAGGGGCTTCACTGACTATGGAAATATCCTGTCTATAGCCTGTAACTGCTAACCCTGGTGCCAGCCGCTGCACTCAGGGGCCAGAGTCACACAGTTTGTCAGCTGTTAGCTGCATGTCAGGATGGCAAGCAATTAGGTGGCCCTCTTTGGTCACCATACTCACTGTGGTAACTGAGGGGTGTCACCATTTTAGGGAATTTCACAGTGGCTGGGAATGGGTGGGACCTGGAGCTAGAGCTCTGGATGAGGAATTCAGATGTCAAGCTGTGCTGGCCGGGTTTGGAAAGCCACTGGACAGGCATTGTCCTTGATGGAAGTCCTAGGGAAATCATGATCCCATCAATAAAGCAAAACCTATGAAACCAAGTGTGGAACCTCTCCGTTCTAGAGGTCAGGGGGGCCTGGACTACACAGATATCCTTAGAAGGAAAACAACTGCGTGGAGGTGGGGCCAGCAGTCCGTCTCTTGGTGTAAAAATGGAGGAATGAACTTTTCCCCGGGCTTTTTCCATTGTCAAACTGGAACTCTTCTGCTTTTCTTTGATGAAATTATCAACTTCTGCTGCTGGTTAGAAAAGTCTTCAAGACAAAATCTGTTTGCCTGCCAGGCGGTGCTGACTTGGGAGGCAGAGGCAAGTAGATCTCTGTGAGTTCGAGGCCAGCCTGATCTATGGAGCAAGTTCCAGGACAGGCCCCATAGCTACTAGGAAACCCTGTGTGTGTGTGTGTGTGGGGGGAGTTCACTCATAGCTTCCAGTGGGCTTTTCTGAGAATCTGTATTGTGGAGAGTCAGCCTTACCTGGAGGCCCACCATTTTCCTGTAACTTTGCAACTCTATCTTTTGAGACACATTTGTGCAATTGGAAAATTCTGCCAATTACTGTTTATCACACCTTCTCCATTTGCTTTCCCAGTGCCAGATTGTGAGAGGAACACCTTCGTTGCTGAGATAATGCTGCTTTTCTCAGAATCTCTGGTGAACAGTGACCTGAGACGTGGGGTCAAAGCTATAAAACCTGCTAGGAAAGGAAGAAAGAAAGCAGTCTTGAGCAATGGGGAAGACCAGATCCTCTAAGTTTGACAGAGGTTAATTTGACTGAATAATGAAACTCAAGCAGAGAGCGAAGCCTGTGGCTCACGCCGCTAATCCCAGAGTTTGGAACGTGGAGGCAGAAGCATCAAGGTATTCAAGACCAGTCTAGAAAAAGAGTAGTCACAAAAAATCCCCTCAAGCAAATACCCCCACCTCTGAAAAATAAAACAAAAAGACAAACAACCAAGAAACTTCTTGTCAAATGTCCCCATGGAGGCAGATGTGAATAAGCAAACTCACTAGGCCCCCACCGGAAGCGCTGCAAATCCCAGGTGGCTCCAGTGTGTGCCCCAGGGTGGACGGCCTTTGAGGCAAGGATGTCCAACCCGGAGTCCTGCTTTTTCTGAGATGCCCAGGGACTGCTAATCCACCTATAGACTGAAAGCAATAATTTGTCTCACAGACTTTATAGGACTAGCCCTTCAATCTACACAGATGGGGTGATGAGGGACCCAGGAGCTTTCAACCTCTCAAGCCTCAAAGTATAACCATTTGCATATCAAGAGCAGCTTTTAAATTTGAAAGAGCACTATCCAAGTGCCAGACAGACTGCCCCAGAAGGAAAGAGGTGTGCTGGACGGATACACACACACACACACACACACACACACACACACACACACACACACACCCCTGCTTCCTGGAGCCTCACCAAGTCCACAGATTGCCTGGTTCTGTCCGCATGTTCCTGTCCCAGTTGTCAGCCCTGGAGGACATGCCCAGCTGTCTCTAGGGAAAGGAGGTTCAGACTGGAGGCTCCTGGCCCACTCATGTTTGTGCCTCAGCCTTTGAAAGGGTGGTCTGTGTAACAACCGAACAATTTAAGTCTCTGCAATTGTACTCAGTTCATTTCATAGTTTTGTTGCTCTTTCCTTTCTTGTTGGCGTGTTTGCATTTTACCGTGTTTGCATATTAATGTGTCCAGAGTCTCCTCCAACAGATCATCCATAACTCAGCGTGGCTTTGCACTTCTGCCCTTTGTCTGTGGGTGACATATATGTGTCTGTGGTGACATATATGTGTCTATGGGTGACACATGTGTCTGTGGTAACATATGTGTCTGTGGGTGATATATGTGTGTCTGTGGTGACATATGTGTCTGTGAGTGACATATATGTGTCTGTGGATGATATATATGTGTGTCTGTGGGTGATATATATGTGTCTGTGGTGACATATATGTGTCTATGGTGACATATATGTGTCTATGGTGACATATATGTGTCTGTGGGTGACATATATGTGTCTGTGGTGATATATATGTGTCTGTGCTGACAAAGATGTGTCTGTGCTGACAAAGATGTGTCTGTGGTGACATATATGGGCACTGGGCCCTAGAACACAAGGGGAGTCTCTTTCCAATGCAGCATTTTAATATAACTCAGCCCATACAAAGAAGACCAAAACACTCAGGTACAGGGTTTTATCTCTAATATGAAATATTGAAGGGGTTATTTTGTATTACATGAAGCAGAATCATGAATTAGCATCATTTTCAGTGTGGAAAAGTTTGACTTTGTATTTTGGATTTGCTTTCCTATTTTCTTAAGCAAACTCTAGCAGTTGTTTTCTGTCAGACCCGGAAGACTTTACATTTTGATAGCCTCAGGCTATCGTGACTTCATCTTCAATCCAGAGCTATTCTAGAACTCATGAAAACACCATCGCTTCTGGCTGCAGATGTCTTGTGCTGGCACGCGCTCTTCTCAGACTTGGTGCTTTTCCATTCGCAGGCTTCATCCTGATGCTCAAGGTTCTGCTGTTTTCGGCCAGACTTCCTTGATTGCTGGATCAAGTACTGTGCTCTCTTTCATGGCATTGAACTTCTATTTATAACCAGCAGATGATCAGAAGCCAGAGTCAAGGACAGTTGCTGTTTGGTCAGGCCCAGCTGCTGGGTACTGATTGGTAACCAGCAAGGTGTGGCAGCTGCCATTTGGCATGCCCGGGTCCTGATAGCATTGCTAGCATTTGCTTAGCTCAAGCAAAAAGAGTTTATTTCAGCCATCTCTGCAGAAGCAGACTGTGCTGGACACCTAGACAGTCCAGCTGATTCCTGTTCAGATTGCGTTGGAATAAGAAGCAGTGTTGTCATGGGGTCTAAGCGGACACACGGCTGGCTTCCTCCCCTGGTTAGATTCAGTCACAGAAGTGTGTGCATCTCCATCTCTGTCTGAAGGGAGCAGTTTAGGAAGGATGAGTATTTTCATAAATCTACAGGTTCTTGGAGAGACAGAGCTGTAGTAAATCAGTCTACAAATTAGTATGGAGCCACAGATCACCACCTCCCGGAAATGAAGTCAGCCTAAAAACAAAGTCCAGACTAACTAAATATGCATTTCAAGAGGGGAGTTCAAGTTGCTGGCCTTTAAAGGTGCGTTATGGGTAATGCCATTGAGGAACTGAGCTTACAGCACTAAAGACTGGTGGGGAAAGTGTTCGCTTTGATACTTGAAGTTTTACTGACACGACTGATACTCAGAACTCTTGGCAAGATTAGTGGCAACCTCTCTTTGTGTTCACAAAGGACATTCATGGTGATCTGTCACCAATCATCAGGCGTGTGTGGATGGCGACGCCACTCTGCCACTGAGAAGTTATTCCTCAGGACCATCCAAGACCAGCCAAGCTCAGCACCTTCACGTTTCCCAACAGAGGAAACTTTAGGGAGCCCCTCATAGGTGAAAGAGCCAGGCAGGTGGCATGGTGGGGATCCTTCTCATAGGGAAGTAGAGCGCCCTCCCTGGAGACAGATATTTTACATGGAGACAAAAACGGACAAGGTGCTGTTAGTGGCGCCTCGCAATGCTGTGAAGGTATCTGTCAGAAGTAACACTTTATTTTGTCTCTCCATTTAAAGCCGTGGCACACAGCTACTGCACAGGCAGCTCCACGGTGGTGTGTAGGTGGATTTTTCTGCCCCACCAGCCAGCTTCCAGATAACCACACAGAGACTTATTAATTGGGAAAGCTCGCCTGACAGCTTGGGCTTGCTGCTAACTAGCTCTGACTACTTTACCCAGTGTTATTCATGTACTGCTGCCTCGTGGCTTTCTCCCTTCACTCTGTCCTGCCGTGCTGCTTCCTCTCTCTCTGATTAGCAACTCTCCGTGTCTCTACCTTTCTTCTTCCCAGTGTTCTCTCTACATCTAAAATTCTGCCTAGCTATTGACCATCCAGCGTTTTATTAAACCAGTCTGAGGGACAAATCTTCACAGCATACCTAAAGGTTATTCCACAACAGTGGTAGACGCCTGTGGCTGGGTCTCCTCACGGCCGTGCAGGAACAGGAAGCAGCGTAAGGGGATGCTGGCACAATGGCTGACTCTTTTTCCTTCTTTTATTCAGTCTAGGGCTCCAGATCATAGACGGTGAGGTCTACATTCAGGGTGGGTCTTCCCTCCTCGGCTGATCCTCTCTGGAAGCACACTTTCAGGTCCTGGGTTGTGTCTCTTAGGTAATTCCACACCTGGTCTAGTTGACAATGAAGATAACTACCACAGGTGTGTTTAAAGCTCTCAGAACATTGGATGAGGGTTCCATCCTATGCCTGAGTGAGTTCTGCTGTAGTCTGCCCTTGCTCCCCACTTATCCAGGACAGAAGCTGCGGCTAAGTGCTACTGTGTGGCCTGTACTAAATAGTTACCATTTATGGAAATCAATTTAAAGACATCACTAACAAAATGCCAAATAACGTTTATTATGTTAGCCTTTCTAGCCACGTGTAGAAAGTAGTTCCATTTCTTTTCTTAATTATTTATTTTTGTGTTTTATGTGCATTGGTATTTTGTCTGCAGGCATGTCTGTGTGAGGATGTCAGACCCCCTGGAACTGGACTTATAGGCAGTCGTACACTGCCGTGTGGGTGCTGATAATTGAACCCAGGTCCTCTGGAAGGACAGCCAGTGTTCTTAAGCACTGAGTCATCTCTGACATAGCTCTGTTTCTTACAGGCTTTGATTTGAGGAATTCCACAGGCAAGAGAAAAATGTATTTGCATTGGCTCTTCCGCAGCCATCCTAGTTGTTTACTCTCGGGTTTGGGCGTATATGTTTAGTGAGAAATTTACCAAAGTGGTAAGGGTGCTTTCTCTACACTGTGGCCTCATGGGTAATGAATGCTTTTCTGCATTTTCCCAGCTTTCAGCATCCAGCATATAGACATGTTGCATTTTAAAACAGCACTTTCTGAAAAGTTTTTTTTTTTAATAAAACAGGGTATTTGTTGTTCTCATACTTCTTATAGGTGGACAGTTTTCTCTTTATACTTTATAGTCTCTTCAGACCTGACAACTTAGTCAACTGGGCAGGAAAGGGAAAAAGCAAAGCCCAGTGGTCACAGAGAAATAAGAGGCGGGGCTCCCTTTCCACAGCAGCCGGGGTCACATGATGCTTGTGGCAGCATCTGCGGTCACATAGTTGCAAGTGAAAAAAATATTCCAACGAAGTTGACAAAGCTGGAGGCATTACCCAACCTAACAGTGTTGGTGCAACTCAGCAGGGGAGACTACCCCAGGGGCTGTTCTGGTAAGAGGCTAGAAGCTGACCCATCAGTCCTGCAGTGTGCAAACCCGGAGGACTAACCAGGTACTGAGTCTCAGTAGCTGACTGCCTCCACTGCACCAAGAGCCAGTCCAGGCAGCCAGGGGAAAGTGGTGGGGAGTCCTGTGTGGGGACTGAGACCAGGCACAATACTGGACCCTGCAGGAAACACCCAGCTATCGCAGAAGCGGCTGTGCAAACGGCGTTTGCTGGCACTTTCCCACCTGGTTTTGTCAGGAGGTGGCTAAAAGCAGGAGGCACAAAGTACCCCAGTCCCTGGACATGAAGACCGAAGTCAGTGTGTCTGGAGAAGTCGTTCTCCCACGTAGCTGCATTGGCAGCAGTAGGGTGGGGCTTGGGGAAAATAGACAGGGTGGTACTCTATAGACTGCCTTTTCCTTTCTCTGGTGCAGCTGCTCCGGTGCTTCTACTGGCCTAGATGAGTCTGTATCCCACAGGCGTCAGGGAGGATGCAGACAACCAGCAAACCTATTCTAGTGCTTCACAGGGAGTTCCCAGCACCAACATGGTCCCTGTGAAGGAGCCTTACCTAGGCTCAAGGAAGCAACGGTGCTGAGTTCTATCTCGCTGCAGAGCTTCTGGCTGCAGACACCAGTCACCCAGAAAGACCCAGTGAACATGCAAGCCTGAGTCAGTAGATCTAGGGGCACCTGAGAATCTGTGTTCCTTCAAGCTCCCAGGGGAAGCTAAGGCTGCTGGCCTGAGGCCCACCTTGCAGAGCAGAGTCAGTTCTAAGAGTTGAAGAGGAAGGAGGCAAGTAGGAAGTGAGGAAAGTCAGAGAGGGTGCAGGATGGATCACTGGGTGACCCTGGGAGTGGTGTGTGTGTGTGTGTGTGTTAAACCTTGAGGAAGCTGTGTATGGTTGGTTACCTGTAGCCGACTGCACTGGACTGGTCGTGTCGTTCCCCCCCCCCCCACACCCCCGCCCGGTTTCCTTTCCTCTTCTAAGACAGTCTTTCCATTCAGCCCAGGCTAGTTTTAACTTCCTGGGTGCTACAGTCTTGTGCTGTGACACACAGCTTGCCACTTGATTGTGTTAGGAGTCTGGTGGCTTACCTCATCCCTTGAGACTTGGGCTGTTACTCACCTGAGGTGTCCTTCGTGACTTTTACTTCTCTAGTCAACTTCCCCACCATGTAGGTGATAAGGTCACCAGGGCAAACCTAGTGTATGTCAGGTCCCACAGAAACTCAGGACGAATTGCTAACTGTGGGCATATGAGCACACCAAAGTGTTTGCTTGCCTTTAGGCTCCCTCAGTACCTGTGACTCGGCTCTGCTTCTCACCCTGCCCCCACCTTAAACTTCCCCAGCCCATGGGCTTAGCTTCCCAGCTTCTGGTCCCTACCTAACCCTGCTCTTTCAGGTACATATTCTCTTGGTTCTCTTTCTTGGTTTGCTCCTGAATCTCTTGGTCCACTTGCCCCATACCCCCCATTCTCTTCCTCTCCTGCTCTCCCCCACTCCTTCACTTGTGGCCCGGCTCAGTCTTGACCCTTCCAGAT